CCTCTTTTTTTTTTTTTTTTTTTCTAGGGAGATCTAGGCAAGAGTGAGTGTTAGAAGCAGCAGCTTGGAGACAGGGGATGTGTGATTGGCCGGGAGGTCAAGGGTTTCCTTGTAAGGCTGGAGGTCCTATTTTCTCGGGTGAGGTAAACTAAAGCTGAGTGGGAGGGTGGTGGCTGGTGTGTGTTAGGTTTCTTGGACAGTGGGGGCTGAAAACTGAAGTTTTGTGATGTGGACCATCCTCTATTTCTTGGGTCCCTAAATTAGGTCCTAGACCCATTTCCACTGCTAGGGGAGGTTCTCCCCCGCCACACACACACACACACACACACACACATACACACCACCAAACAATGCTTGGTACACCAGCTGGGTGTCCTACAATTCAATTCAATTATGACACTATCTACCTGGAGACAGCATCAGATTCCACAGGTTAAGAGCTCAGTTCTCCAAGACTACTTCCCAACCCTGTCCTTCAGACACCAATTGCAAGCTCAAATGACCTGCGCTTTTGACTGACCACAAATTAGAGGTTCCGGAGATCCCCTCTAACCTAGGATGCTAATCTCAAGTCCAGGTTATCACTGATACTTCTCACTGACTGGCTATTATCAATCAGAAGTTTCTGGGAATTCCTTGGCGATCCAGTGGTTAGGGCTCCGCGCTTCCATTGCGGGGGGGGGGGGGGGCGAGGGCGTGGCGGGGCACAGGTTCACTCCCTGGTCGGGGAACTAAGATCTCACAAGCTGCACGGTACAGCCAAAAAAAAAGGTTCCACAACCCGCTTCTCAGGTTCGATTAATTTGCTAGAGCAGCTCACAGGACTCAGAGAAACGTTTTACTTACTAGATTGCCGTTTTATTATATAAACCAGGAAAAAACAGATAAAGGAAATGCATAACGCAAGGTCTGGAGAAAGCCTATGGGGTGCCCATGCCTTCTCCCAGCGCCACCCTCTCCCCACATCTCCACCAACCTGGAAGCTTTCCAAACACTGTCTTGGATTTTTATTACAGGACTTCATTACACAGGCGTGATTGACTAAATCTTTTGCCATTGGTCCCCCCTCCCCTCCTAGAAGGTGCAAGGGTGGAAGAGAAAGTTCCAACCCTACAAACACACGGTTATCTCCCTTGGCAATCAGCCCTATCCTTAGGCAACATACGGGCATTCCAAAAGTTGCCTCCTGAACATAGCAAAACACCGTTCTCTCTCTCATCACTTAGGAAATTCCAAGGGTTTTAGAAGCTCAGTCGTAGAAAACAGGACAAAGCCCGAATACATATTCCTTATTATAATTCACATCATAATTCATAACATCCCAGTCCCAATATACAAATTATCCTTATCAGCATGCCATAGAAACTACAAAGTATGTATTTGTCTATATAAAATTTTAAATTAAGAAAAAAAGTCATAACATTACCGCATCGAACTTGGATCTGCCGGCCTCCCTGCAAAGCCAATTTACTGACACGGGGACGTGGTGAGGGAAAGTACCGCATTTACTTCAGGGCACCTAGGAAGGAGAACAGGTAGCTCATCCTCAAAAGAACTGAACTCCCAGATGGCTTTCAGGGAATGGTTTTTAAAGGTGACATTTGGGGTGAGGGTTGCAGAGGGCATGACTTTTTTCTGATTGGTTGCTGGTGAGGTAACAGGGTGGTGTTTCAGAAATCTTAATCATCGACCTTCTGGTTCCAACCAGTCTGGGGTCTACATGTTTGTGGTTGGCATGTAGTCACCATCCTCCACCTGGGCTGGGGTCTTATTTTCTGCAGAGCAATTCAAAGATATGCAGCAGGTTGTTACATATATCCCTTGAGAGGAACTCAGACTTTTATTGCTGCACTATTGCTTCTGGACTGCTTTTCCTGAGTTTCTGCATTCCCTCACCTCCCTAATTAGAAACTTAGATTCTGCACTTTAGAAGTCAGGGGAGGCCTAGGAGTCTAAAGCTTTTTTCCAACAAACAAGAAACCATGGGACACAGAGGGGCTTCTGTACCTAGGAGGGCCCCACAGAGTCCGGCTCTGTTTCAATAAAGTCAAAAGACTGGGAAAAATACATATGAGAGAAATGGACGTTTCCTCTAATGTACAAATCTCTCTCACAAATTAATAGAGGAGAGAAGACAAACCAATAGAAAAAAAGGGCAAAGGATTGAAGGGGAGCAAAATTTGCCACCCTAAAACATCTCTTTGGCATGTGGGTTATTTCAAGCTGAAAACAATCAAGGCCCAAAAGACTCAAGGAGAAAATTTGACCTTCCCCCTTAGCTGCCTAAAGAATTTAGATAAAGGGCCAGTTCCCAGAACTGAGCTGTCACCAGAGAGCTCTGCAAAGACTATGGGCTGAGTGTGGTGGGGAAACTCGGCAGGGCCTGGAGATCAGAGTCCACTCTGGGTCCCATTGTCTCTGCACAGCCCAGCAAACATCTGTTTCCCATTCACTTTTCCATTTCCTTGTGAATTGCGTTCCTCCCCTTTGAGGTCCCAAATCACTACCCACAGCCTCTTCTTTTGTCTTTAGCTGAAGATGGTATTTAAGGTCAGGGCTTCAGCCATTTGGGTGACTTACTCAGTTTTTCTGGGTCCCTCCCATGTATACATGTCATCAAACTTTTGTTTGATTTTCTCCTGTTATCTATATCATGTCACATCAATTCTTAGACCATCCAGAAGAACTAGAAGGGTAGAGGGAAATTTCTTCCTCCGCAACAAGAAAACATAATTCCGAGTCAGTGAATACCCACACACAAAATGCCAAATACGACAAATTAAAGAATTAGAACTTAAAGTACCATTGTTCATCCATCAGATTGTCAAAGATTTAAGAGATTGATCATACCCATGTGACATTGTGATTTATAATAAGAAATATATATTTGGTCTTCACCCTGTTCGCGGCACAAAGCTCCCTTGGAATTTCCTAAATGTTGAGCACAGTAAGTGTCTTTTGTTATGTTTATGAGGTGACTTTTGGAATCCCCCTAGGTAACGTAAAGGTGAAGTCTGGCTGCCAGGAATATCAACATGCGATTAGACGGCTGGAACTTTCAGTTCAGCCCCTGACCTTGGGGGAGAGAAGATGGAGAAAACGGAGTTCAATCACCGATGGCCAATCATGCCTATGTAATGATGCCTTCATAAAAACTCAAAAGGTGGGGTTTCTGAGAGCTTTCATATTGGTGAGCCAGAGAGTAACCATATCCCTGGAGAGTAGTGCACCCCAAACTCCACCGGGACAGAAGCTTCTTTGTTCAGGACCCTTCCAGGTCTTGCCATATGTATCTCTTCAACTGGCTGTTCATTTGTGTCCCTTTTTTTGGGCGGGGTTGCACCATAGGGCATGCGAGATCTTAGTTCCAGGACCAGGGGTGAAACCTGTGCCCCCTGCAGTGGAAACGAGGATTCTTAACCACTGGACCACCAGGAAGTCCCAGCATCTGTATCCTTTAATATCCTTCATAATAAGCCAGATATCTAGTAAGTCAACTGACTTCCTGAATACTGTGAGTTGCTCTAGCAAATTAATCAGACCCCAGGAGTGGGTCAAGGGAACCTCCAATTTATACCCAGTTGGTCAGAAACATAGGTAACAACCTGGACTTTCAACTGGCATCCGAGGTGGGGGCAGTCTCGCGGGACTGAGTCCTTAACCAGCGGGATCTGACACAAGATAGTATCAGAATTGAGAATCAAAGAATTGCTTTATGTGTGGAAAACCCACACAGTTGGTGTCAAAAGTGAAGTAGCAAAGCAGGGTGAGAGTAAAGGAAAGACACAGAGGACTGTGTTTTTTCATTATCCAGTGTTGGCAAGGATGTAGGAAAACTGGAATTTCACTTTTTTTTCTTGGATACATTCTTCTGGATCTCTTTATCCTCCTTCTCCAAACTCATTACTTTCTGTTACCCTGGGATCTCCCTTCACTATCATCCTGGGAATTTTTTTTCTCTTCTCTTCTGTGTTGAATTACTTGTGTTCTGAATTCCAAGCACTCTCTTTTTATGGTTTAGTCCCTCATTCTGATGTAGGGAATCCTCCAGTGGCTTCCTGAGAAAGCATGGGAAATGATTTTTTTGGATACATTGCACGTTGGAAATGTCTTTATTCACAACTTCCTCTAGATAGCTTGGCCGACTGTAGAAGTCAGCTGAGAAACATTTTATCTTCAGAATTTTAAAAGTATGGGTCAAGCTTCTTCTAGATTTCAAGGCTGATCTTGAGAAGACTGACAATAATCTTCTTATCTTTTGCATGTAACACCCCCTGCCTCACCCCCAAGCTGTTAGGATTGTCTTTTTAAACATATGTTGAAATTCCACGAGGCTGATGTGCACCAGTGTGGGTCTTTTTTCATGTAGAAGGCTGGACACCTTCAGTCTGTAAAATCACATTTTTTGGTTCTAAATTCTATGGAATTCAAACCAAGCAAATAAAGCAGAAAATCTACAAGGTACTGAAAAATCTAAAAGAGGTAAGTAGGGCCATTTGGAAGTTAGATTTTGAGAATGGAGTTAGATTTTTGATTGTGGCAGGTAATGAAACCAAGTGGGGCCCTGTGAGGCTTCCAGGCATGGAGCCTCTTTTTTTGGCCCCCGATTTCTTGTAGGCAAGACTCCAGCCTCCACGACCTACGCTGAGCTTCAAACAGTTGCTAATCAAGGGAGAACAGGCAAGAAACCACCTGAGGCGAGATTAAAGGGACCAGAGAAGCTCATCAAGATTAGGAGACCCGACCACCTGAAACCCTGCACACACCCTCATCTTGTCAGCAACCCAGCCTTGGGTAATATTGTTATAAAACTTCTCACTGGGCTTTCCTGGTGGCGCAGTGGTTGAGAGTCCGCCTGCCAATGCAGGGGACACGGGTTCGTGCCCCGGTCCGGGAAGATCCCACATGCCGCGGAGAGGCTGGGCCCGTGAACCATAGCAGCTGAGCCTGCGCGTCCAGAGCCCGTGCTCCACAACGGGAGAGGCCACAACAGTGAGAAGCCCACGTACCACAAAAAAAAAACAAAAAAAAAACCCCAAAACACTTCTCACTACCCTCTCCAAGTTGGGACACATAGTCTTTCGAGGCAGGAGCCAACTGTGTCCCCCTTTGCCTGGTAGAGTATTGAATAATAAAGCTATCCTTCTCTACTTCACCCCAAACTCTCTCTCCAAGATTTAATTTGGCCCTGGTGTACAGAGAAGCTGAGCTTTCAGCATCAGTAACAAATTACTTTTTTTTTTTTTTTTTTTTTTACTGTAGGACAGTTGTAATACCAATTCTCCCATTATCTCAAGTGGCTATGTATCCCGTTGCATTCAGTGGGACTTTACTTTTCTGGATGCTGCAATTATCTTAAAGTTTCCCTCATCTGTTGATGGCAGAGGGATAACTGTCATAACTAGAGAGAGCATAATTAGAATATTTGTCTATTAAAGAAAGAAACTTTATTCCAGCCACTCTGATGGTTGGCTAATTTCCTGACTTCCACAAAGCATGGACAACGAGTAAGGATTTCTTTTTTTTTTTTTTTTGCAGTACGTGGGCCTCTCACTGTTGTGGTCTCTCCCGCTGTGCAGCACAGGGAGAGCTGTGCTCTCTTTATTTTTGGCTGCTTTGGGTCTTTGTTGCTGCGCACAGGCTTGTCTCTGGTTGCTGCGAGCGGGGACTATTCTTCGTTGCTGTGCGCGGACTTCTCA